ACGAATGGGTCGGCTCGATCGAAGAAGGACGGCACTCTCACAGAATACCAATGTAAAATAGCAGCGTAATACTGCTGTTTCATATGGTGAGTGTAGAGAACCGGAGGCCCCTTTTTACTGGAAACGAGGCGTTCCATCTTGGTCCTCAGGGGTGACAACGCATCTGCGTTTTGATTTTTAATGTAGGATAAATGTAGATGTCTGTGGGCTACAACATCCACACCATCTGATGGACTGTGTGCTCGTTTGTCACCCTTGTGCTTTAGAAAAAGAAAAAGAAAAATCAAGGAAGACATAAATGGAAGGTTTTAGGAGAGTGGGTCTCATTAGAAACTTAATGAAACTTGCTCACCATAGAGTGTATGAGTATCGAAAAATTGCAGAGGAATGAGATTATTTCAGACTAGGTCCGTAGATTTGTTAGTAACAATAATATTTTAGATGTAGACATATAAATTTACTATTAAATAAGCTTTGACTGAGATAACACGGACAAGACAAAGGTCACGTGTATGAAGTGTAGAAGTAAGGAGTACAGACTGTGTATTAAAAAGTGTCCATAGAAAACCGTTAAATAAGGGTGGCGCCACTATAACTACGGGGTATACTTTAAAGAACGCACCGAAAAATATTAGTGGGATAGACGACTTTTTCGAGATTATATTTACTAAATAAAATTATTTTAGATTTTAGAGCTACTGAGGAGTTTAACAGCACACTTAAACCGTCGACAATTGCTAAGTTCATTTCATCCCAGTAGCTACTCCAGCGCTGTTGTGGAGAGTTTTTGAACTGTTATTTACTGCTTACAGATGGCCACTTTTTCAACTATTCTACTATGGGAGTTGGTACTCCTTGCTTCTACACTCCATAGTCATGTGTAACGTCCTTGTCACACCTACGTATGCCGCTAGTTGTCAGGAGCACTACATTTAGGGTTTCCGGACGTCCTTTATTTCATACCCAGAAATTAATGTTGTCCCTTAATTTTAAATCTTTAATAGTTAGCTGAGGTCAAAGTTGAATTGCGTATTAACATTGCTTTTTTTAAGTACAAATTTTGACCATGATACCATAACACTTTTATTGAAAACAATATGATATCCTCTATTTTTATCCTATGTCCTTTATTGACGTATACGTGGTAGAGCCATGCTGCAGTTATATTAGTAGTATAGTTGTAGCACGAATGGGTCGGCTCAACCGGGGAAGGACTACGCTCTCACAGAATACCAGTAAAATAGTAGCTTAATGCTGCTGTGTTTCGTATGGTGAGTGTAGAGAACTGGAGACCCTTTTACTGGAAATGAGGCATTCCATTTTAGGCTTCACGGGTGACAACGCATCTGCATTTTGATTCGTAATCGAGGATACATGTAGGTGTCTATGGGTCACAGAAACCACTTACCATCAGGTAAACTGTGTGCTCGTTTGTCACCCTATCCTATAAAAATAATCTTATAAAACCATTAAAACCAAAAAGGGGAGCTGGCAACCCTAACTATGCTCGAAGTTGTATCGTATGCTCGTGTGTGTTTACGTAGGATAAATTATCCGACAAAATACGTCCAAATACGACCGAGAAGTCAACCGTCAGATTCAACTGAACTGGGCAGCGTTTGGGTGATTACGATACATCTTCTCTTCAGGTATATCTCAAAACTTTAAAACAACAGTGTTCAATCAGTGCGTGTTGCCAATGCTGTCATGTATCTGCGGCGTATCTTTCACTGCTATGTGGAGCATTGTCCTCGAAGTTTCTCTGGGTGACAGACTTTGTAATGAGGGTATCCGCAGTAAAATCAAAGTAACCCACATAGTGTAAAATATCAGTAAGCTGAAGTGGAAATGGGTCCGCCATATAACTTGAAGAACCGATAACCGTTGGGGGTAAAAGATTCTCGAGTGTTAGCCTCGTACCAGTAAGCAAAGTGTACGGCGAACCTCCACTAGATTGAGTGACGACCTGGTAAGAGATGCAAGAATTCGAAGTATGCATTTGGTTCAGGATCGTGCCTTGTGGCGGTTCTTTGGGGAGGCCTACATTCAGCAGTGGGCTTGTGAAGGGCTGTCATAATAATGATCAACTAAAACACAATTTAAAATTAAAATTCAACAATATTTTATAGTTGTACGAAGTCCAAGAATTTTTTAACTAAAAAATGGGCTCACTCTCGAGCTCCATCTGGCACGGGGGCAAAGGTAAGGTCTGGTCGGTCTTAAGATGGAGCGAGTTTGCCCTGGAGCTGCCCTGGAATTCTTGTAGAACTAGGACATTTTTATAATTAATAGACGTCGGAAATTCAACGACGTTCTCTTTCATTCGTGAATAAAACAAATGGAATTAAATATATTGTTTATTATGAAAAAATCAACATAAACACTCACGCCTGTCACCCAGAGGGGTAGGCAGAGACTACAGACTTCCATTTGGCACGATCCTGACATAACTCTCTCGCCTCCATTACATCAATATATCTGCGCATACACGCTCGTCGGTTAAGGGTACTCCTATTGTGGCCCACTTTCAAAATATCGCCAACTATGTCGATAAATCTTCGTCTAAGGCTTACCTTCCCGACTCTGCCGTTTACATCTGCAATATAAATTTACTTTGTCACTTTTCCTCGTTCATTCTTTCTACATGACCAAACCACCGAAGTATTCCTTTCTTAATCCTGGTCATAACATCATCTTGCACACCACATTTTTTTCTTATCATACAAATTCAAATTTAGCCCTAGCACACTCCTTAAAAACCGCATTTCCACAGTATTTATTCTACTTTCGTGCTTCTTCTGTCAAGCTGAAATTTCCCTACCATACATTAAAGTAGGGATTAACACAGCGTTATGAATTACCATACGTGTCTTTTTTTACACTTTTCTGACTCTTCATAATAGAGTGTAGTGCCCCATTCACTCTATTCCCTGTATTTACTCGTCGTTCTATATTCTTATCATATCTACCATCCCTGCCAAATACACATCCCAAATACACAAACTCATCCACTTTCTCAATTAACTCTCCTTCTATTCTTATTTCACATACCGTTTTCTTCTCGCTTCTTCTCTTTCAAAAACCATCACTTTCGTCTTGCGTACATGCGTTCACTTTCATTCCCCTTTATTTTAATGACCAGTTCATTAATCTTTCCCTTCTTTTCTTCTCCCGAGATATTTGTCCTTTCCCTTTTTCTTTTTTTTTTTTATTTTTGCTTCAAGTCCCAGAAATGGCGCTCACCACCCTTTCTTGCTTATCAAGCTGCCTACCTGTTTTTTGTTTTTACGATTTACTATAAATGTTACGTATTCTTATTTCTTTAAACTCGAAACTTCGTCACTCAAAATACATCCGTTCTAGTCTCGTATAGCATTCATTTCTTGCTTTGAACTTCCCCTGGCCGTTCATACGAGTTTCCAGAACATTTTATTATTTGCCTGGAAGTTATCAGATATCCTTCTATCATTCTTATACGTTCTTTCTTGCTTTTTCCTTTCGATTACTTCCTTTGCTCTCTTATTTAGACGACAAAAAGTCTGGCTTTTTTCTTTCAATCTCATCATACATAACACCAGAATTATCAGCTTTGGTTGCTAGTAAATCTAGTCATGCTCTCTTCTTTGCTTCAACTTCCACCCGCACGTCATCATTCCGCCACAACGTATTATTTTTCCTTTCATTTGTTCTCTTACTTACACCACATACTTCGGAGGCTGCATCCACCAAAACTTTCGTAACATTATCTCACACAAATTTCAAGTCTAAATCATTCATACACAATTCATTCAAACAGTATTTTCCCTCAGTCTACATTTATACTTCTCTTTCACATCTTCATCTTGTAACTTCTCTATTCTTATACGCTGTAACGCAGTGGTAGACACAGATGTCCGATGCCGCCAATACTTGAATAGACCATTAATAAGACATAAGACCAATGATCCGTCCCTAAGTTGGACCCCCGGTGAATCCTTGTATCTACCACTGTGCTCATTCTTCCACCCACAATCATGAAATCTATCATACTGCTATCATCACCTCTTTCCCGTGTATACATGTGAATCTTCTTATTACGAAAGAAAGTGTGCGTCACAAAAATATTCTCTTCCACAAATACGGCGAGGAGGCCTTCATCATTTTCATTTATACTTTCATCACCAAACGTTCCCAATATCCTTTCATAACCAGACGTCTTCACCTCAACCCTTCCATTAAAGTCTCCTAACATAATAATATTTTCATTTTCCTTAAATTTCATCAACACCATCCTTACCGTGTTCCAAAACCGGTCTCTGATATGTGGGCTTAGACAAATCTGGAGCGTACACCCCTAGCACAAACAGCTTCTTTAAGCCCACTTACATTCGTATCCATAGCAGCTTCGGGCTTACACATTCATACTCTTTCACACATCGACCCATTCTTTCTGAAAGGATGATACCGACCCCCTGACATGCCCGCTCGGTCTCGTCTACACCAGACCAGTATGCGGTATACATGCCATGTGTAGTGACATCCTTCCCTTTCCGTTTCGTCTCATTTACGCATAACATATCCAGTCCTCTATCATTCATCATTTCGCAATTTCATCCATCTTATCATTTATTGCTCTACATACATTCAGTGTAGCCAGACTTCACTTTCACTTTTACCGCGCGTGAATTGTACACACGATTTTTAAATTTTAAAAGAGAATGAAAAATAAAGTGGATATATCGCAGTACACAGACCTATTTGTGTCATGTATGATAACCTTCATTAATTGCAGATTGTAGCCCTTATGACGAAGGCTTCATAAATCCGGTTTTGCCTCTTGTATATTTTTTAAAAGGCTTTTTATTGGTGTCAATGTGCGACATCGCATCAAAAACAACATCGTCATCTCCCTCATCATGTCTCCTAAATCAAACAACATTAAAGTAGGGTTAAAATTTTTATTTTACAATATTAAAATTAAAAAAAGAATCCATAGATTCAAATAATTTATCACATTATTGTTACAATTTAGTCAAGACTTCACCGAGTGCCTTCTTCTTCTTTTGTCCCTTGTTTAACTTGTGTTTCTGAAAAAAAAATATTAAAAATCAATACCTGACTTTTCGTATATTTTAATATTATGTATTTATCCGAATCGCAGGCCAATAAAAAACAAGTGGTAAACACTTGTTTTTTATTGGCCTTTTTTATTAACAATGTTATTTTGTCCAACCGACTTCAATATTAATAAAATGAGAAGATTAACAATGTAGTGAAAATCATATAAATACGCATTTTTAAGGATAACTCAAAAACATCTGGTCATATCCTGATCATATTTATACGAAACCACATGAGAAGCACCAACTTTCAAATAAAAAAGAATCATCAAAATCGGTTCACATAGAAAAAAGTTCTAATAGCCCGTTTACACTCTCGCGCGAGCGGCGAGGCGAGTTGCGAGGCGAGCCACGAGGTGCGAGTGTAAACGCTAGCTCGTGGCTCGCCTCGCAGCTCGCCTCGCCACTCGCGTCGCGTCGGTGGCGTTTTTTTGGGCACGAGTCAAAGAACCTCGCGAGGGACGCGAGCGTGGTGTTTACACTCGTGATGCTGGCTTACGGCGCCCTTCCGTACAAATACATTCTTTTTCTAAGTTAAAACGTTATTGAAGTTCTTTTGTTAAAGAATAGACCTCTAAAATTAATTTAATAAAATTATTTAGATTTTTATTCTATCATTTGAGCTACTACTACATGCACGTCATTAGCATGTGTAGTTGGCCTTAATTTTCTGCAATACCTATGAAAAATTTTCTTTTTGCAATATGTGTAATAAACAAGCTATATTTTGCTTTCAACAGAGAACTGCAGCTATATAATAGTTGTAGCACAAATGGGTTAGCTCGACCGGGGTAGGACCACGCTCTCACATAAAATCAGCGTAAAACAGCAGCTTAATACAGCTGTGTTTCGTATGGTGAGTGTAGAGATCCAAGACCCTTTTTTACTGGAAACGAGGCATTCCACCTTAGTCCTCAGGGGTGACAACGCATCTGCGTTTTGATTCTTAATCAAAGATATTTTTTTATTTCCTTTTTTTTACATAATAATACTTATTAAGGCAAGAATTGATGCCGCTATTATTTCGACGTCTTCCGTCGTTGTTAGCTCAACGCAAACTGAACGCATCGCGTGCGTATAAACAGGCACTTGTTACCACGCAACATACGAGCGAGCGCGAGACGAGAGTGTAAATGGGCTATAAGATAACACATAAAAAATACAGTCGAATTGAGAACCTCCTCATGTTTTTAAAGTCGTTACAAAACCGGAAAGCTGATACATTACAAATGACGCGAAAATTATGTCCAACTTCTTGACACGCTTCTTTGTTTTTTAAAGCCCGTCGAAGTCAACTGCTCGACGCACTCATATGAACCTAAAACCATGTTGGTGGTAGCAAATGATTTTAGGAGCATGTGTGTTCTTACAATAAGCTGAGCAAGGTTTTTGGCTTGGTTTTACAGTCACTTAAAAATACACTGTCTTCTTTCTTTGTTGGTCTGTGATCAGATGGACAGGCATATTTTATGAACCGTTAGGTGAGGACGTAAGAAAAACCATTACTTATCTCGTACCGAAAGTTGCCACCTATAGCACCAAGTTATAACCTATGTTAACATAGTTATTTGGAAGCATTTATTCGTAACAATATTAAATAATTATGTTTTATTATACTAATTACTATTATTATTTTTTTAATTAATACCCTATACGATATTCTCAAATACGTTTTTTTCTATTTCTACCCCTTTGAATGAACCCCACTGAAATTTGAATTGTTAAGACGGGTAGAGCTCAGTCCATACAAACATATTTCTTTGTTCCTTCCTGGATAATGACACTAGAGGAAATATTTTTTACCACACAACTTTTTATGGCTGATCCTCGTTATAATTATGTTACAAAAACTATTAACTATCTTTTGTTCGTAAAATTTTTGTTCCAACTACTATTGAAATAGGCAAATTATAAACACTGCTATTGTTTAAGAATGATGTGTTCTCCGATAATTGGTAGTACATAGTAATTTATAGATGTAAAGCATGTGATAAAAGTAATTTAATATGTACAACTGTTGGAGATCTATACAAATAAATAAATAAATGCTGTTCACAGTTCGTTCTCGGTCCGATCTCAGTCATATTTTTTACTTGATAAAATATTATCAAGTAAAAAATATGTGTGTGCATTCATACTATCCGTAACAGTCAAGTTTCGCTCGAATCCCATTCAAATAATATAATAAATCAGACCGAGATCGGACCGAGAACGAATTGTGAACGACAAATGAGGATCAGCCCTTAACCATGTAGTGGTGGTGTAATACCCACTACCCCATAGCATCCCGTGGTGTAAGACGCGACAGAGGGAAACTGAAAACTGAAACAGGAGATGGAAAGCAGCATTTTCCTAATAAGTAGAATATAAAAATTCGTAGTTTCCGATCCGGCTGCAACCCACGTCAACTGTAGCAAATATTCCTTTTAAGGGGCAATCTAGGGGAAGGCTTATGTTCAGTAGTGGACCTTTATGGGCGGTGTTGGATGGATGATATTGTTGCGCGCCACAGTTGATGTCTGGTACATGGCACTAGCGCCATCTATTATCGAATAGAAGAAATAAGCTTTATAGATAACTCCACACTCGAAGTTTCTACATCCAGTCGGTCGGGACCGGTATTTACTGAAACATTCTAGATGTTTCGGTGGAAAAGGCCTATATGAAGCCGTTTACGGCCTCAACCGGAGTAGTATTGAATTGGCGATATAAGTGAAGACTAAGGGGCGAAATAAAGTGAACTAGTGTTAAGTGTGATTAATTATTAGTGTGTATTAGTTTTAATTGGTGTTCGGTAATTAAAGTGTCAATTTTGGCAATTCAATCGGCAGTTTTTATTGTCACGAACCCTAAGCTCGTAACAATATAAAAAATATAACAACTTACCTTCTTTTTTTCTGCTGTCATTCCGACGAATTCTTTTCTCGTCTTTTTACCCGGCTGTTTGATATTTCTCTGCCTCTTATCCGGTGGACCTTCCCCGCCATCCTGCGAAAGATAAAAAAATATTTTTGTAGTTTTATTTAACAAATGTTTTACAACTATGAATATAAACATAGACATTATCACTATGATAAATGAAATTGAGTTGTCGCAAAATTTACGATACTACTAGCATTATAAACATAGCGTTTAAAGGTAGAGTACGAAGTAGAGCCACGCTGCAGCTACATTATATTGATGTTTCTTATAATGATTTCTTAAATTTACGCGAACACTACACATTGGTAAATCTTTGTTTCAGAGAGCACGAGGGATCTGTGACAGAAAACATCTGGCCGCGGAGCTTCAGCACGTCAAGCAAGTATTGCAAGACAACAAGCTTCGGGTCCCGCGCCTACGTCACAGTGAACGAGTGAAGCCGGCCACAGTCGAGCGCGCGCCTGCTCTACTACCATATGTTAGAGGAGTCACGGACAAGATTGGCTACATCTTGAAGCGAGCGTCCATTAAGACATACTACAAGCCGCTGAAGAAGATTAGTCAATTTTTACCATCCATCAAATGTAATATTCCTCTACAAGATGCAGGTGTGTACAAGCTAGATTGTGAATGTGGTCTCTCTTACATAGGTCAAACAAAGAGATCTATAAAAACCCGCGTGAAGGAACATATAGCTGATGTGAAGCACCGACGCTCCGGGAAGTCTGCAGTCTGCGAACATGTTCAAGATCGTCCCCACCATTACATTAGATTTGATAAACCACAAATTCTCGCAAAAGAACACCGATTCCTACCAAGGATGATACGCGAGGCTATTGAAATTAAAAAACATCCAAATTTCAATAGAGAAGATGGTTGGGTGCTGCCATCTGCTTGGGATCCTATAATTAACAAAATTAAACCCAAACCCAAGCATACCACTGCAAGACTTCATGATACTATAAGCTCGTTTTGCGTAAATCGCACCAAAAATTAATATTAAAAAACTGAAGGTAGCCGGACTAACTATGACATTGGGACGTCAAACATCTCAGTCCCCCCCGTGACCATGGGCGCTGTAAAGCACCCGAAACGTCGGGATAATAATAAAAATAAATTAAAGTAATTAAACGCGATAAAATCCGTAAATAATAGTTTTATTCAATTGATGTTTCTTGCTTGTAGCAAGAATAGGTTTGCTAAACCGGAGTAGGGCCTAGCTCTCACAGAATACCAGCGTAAAGTAGCAGCTCATTGCTGCTGTGTTTCGTATAATGAGGGTAGAAAACCGGAGACCCTCTTGAGTGAAACCCTGAGGATTAAGATAGCAACATTTTGATTCTTAATCAAGGATGAAGGTGTCTATGGACCACATCATTTTTTTATAGAATAAGGGTGACAAACGAGCACACAGTCCACCTGATGGTAAGTGGTTCTGTAGTCCATAGAAATCTATATTTATCCTCGATTAAGAATCAAAACGCAGATGCGTTGTCATCTCTGAGGACTGAGATGGAATGACTCGTTTCCAGTAAAAAAGGGTAAAAAAAGTAAAAGGGGCATCCCATCCATTAATCCAATACAGCCTACAAAATTCAACTGCTATCTTTACAGAGGATATTGCCGTAATTGCCACATTTTTAAGTTGTTATCAGGAAGATGCTGCTGCTCGTCTCCTGTTTCAGTTCGCTGTATCGTCTCTTACGACAACCACGGGATGATATGGGGTAGTGGGTATTCCTCACGGAATATAAGAAACAAGAGAAAGCCCAAGTGGGCGGGGCAGGTGTGTCACAATTACGGACAGTAGAGCGTAGCTGATTATCAGTCGTAGGCTCAAATTCTCGCGAGCTGACGGGTCGCTGCTTAAGATACGCGAAAATATGCCGTTTTTTGCAATATTAAAGTATAAAAACGAAAGTAAAAAGAAAAATATTTCGAAAGGCGTTTCATGCCAAAAGAACTTGTAATTTTTCCTTTTTTGCATAGAAACGTGACTAAACGTCGACTAAATATCAAATTGGCTTTATTACAGGTAATATTCAACCTTATGATATTTTTTTAAAGTTCATCTGTTAATACATTTTGAATGAAAATTAGTGCGATAGTGTTGTGAATACGCCGATATTAAAGTTTTCCATAAAATTTTATCACAGTCCTGTTTAATTACTAACATATTTGTGCTAATGATAATGTGCAAATTTTTGGATGTCTATGAAAATATACGTAACTATAGGGTATTACCAAATATAAATTGCTATGAATGAATCAATTTTTGTTAGGTTTGCTAAGCCAGTGAATTAAGTAATAAGTTTAGTACTCATGACGTTTGGAAAGTAGCTGAAATAAAATATTTAAATGACAATAAACAAATTATTGTTTTTAATTTTTCTCCTCGCTTCCATTTCAAAAATGATAATTTAAGTCACTATTAACAAATTTCCCTTAAAGGAAACTGGTTCGTCGCTGACGTCGCAAAGAAACCTCAATTTTTTTTTAAATACATGAGCGCAAGAAAACATTTAGTTTCCCAATTACTAGTTTTTTTTTCTTCATAATAAAATTTATAGTACAGTGGACGCTCGGTAATCCGACCCCTGTCTAATCCTTCTCATATCTCTCTTCTAATATGTGAACATTCAGGTTGTCTTAGTTTAAATGTGACTATGGTATACATGGTACAGCGGCCTAACGGGCGTTCATTATTTACTGTTTAGGTATTCATGGTGCACCACATGACTTATTATTTTTTATTTGATATGTATTAATGTCGGATTAGAATGTTCTCTTTTTCAAAAAGTTCAGGACTACCACGGCCTGTGGCAGTACTAGTCCGACTTTGATAATCCGACACCTCCTTGCAAAACGTTTGTCAGATTACCGCGGTTCAACTGTATTTGTAGTTTTCCATTAAATCTAATATTTTTTAATTTTCTGATGAAAAGAGCTAGTTATCGGGGAAATATAAATATTGTGTTGCTCTCTTGCAATTTAAAAAAAAATTCCGGTTCGCCACTTTGCGGCGTCAGCGACAAATTATATGCCGGCTATATAAATAACGGGGATATACGTATTACATCAAGGCAATTTCGAAGGCATTTTCGTATTGAACTTTAATATTGACTGAATATCGATAAGTCTGATCACGTTCAGGCAAAGTAACTACATCACTAATATCATTCACGTAGCAGTATAGGTTAGATTTTTTTTATAGAAAAAAAAGGTTAGGTAAGGCCAAAGTCAACATTATGTCTATTTAAATTTTGCCTATAATAGCGAGAATTTATGATTGCGATATCTAGCGTCACATAGCAAATTCTTTCGTCAAACCTAGAAACTTTATGGATTAATACATAATGATATCTATTAGTAAGAATTTATGTTGCGTTTTCAAATAATCGCGGTATTACTGCGACATCTGACGTTAAGAAGCTAAATTTGATCATTAATTCTAGAAATGATGAAAAGGAAATATGATCACTAAGCCGGGCGCCATCTCGCATGTGTATGTGGGGCGGTATACGTTAAATTCCAGGGTCGTGGAGACAAATTCTTTGATTCTTCACCAAGCAGAGAGACAGAAAAGAACCCGGAAGTCATGGATACCGGGAGGCCACGGTTACCAGAACATCGGAATCACTAGATGCCAAGTCCAGTAAAGCCTGCACAACCGAGCTGAAGCCCCCAGTGGAGACTGTGCTCAATGGCAGCTCACTGAGTGACGAAGAGGACTGCATTTTGCCGTCAAATTCCAACTCGGTGGCTGATGATGAGACCCCGAGATCCGCTGGCAGGCTTATTTTTGGGCGGAGACGGGGAGGACGCTATCAATGATGGCGTGCTCTTCGTTCAGAACTAACCTAGTGCAGGCCAACCTCCACCACAGTAAAACTGTGTCGGCTCAATTACGCAACTGGTTGGAGGCACAAAGGAATGCCATAGCCCTAATCCAGAAGCCATGGGTTGGGGCTGGTAAAATTAAAGGCCTAAACAACCTAAAAGATAAGTTATTCTACAACTCTAAGCACAAGCCTAGGGCATGTATTTATACTACTAAAGGTATCTGTGCCAAACCATTAACAGATTTCTGTTCCAGACATGTATGCCGTAGCAATACAAAATACACAGGAGGGAAAATTAATCGTCGCCTTGGTTTACATGTCGGAGGAATACACTGTAATTCGGCCCATGATCACTTACGGCTCTCTGGTATGGTGGTCCAAAACTAATGAAGCCACCACTATAAAAAAGCTTTAGCATTACCAGAGATCAGCATGTATGGCTGCCATGGGCTGCATAAGAACTACACCGACAGCAGCTTTAGAGGCTATACTGGGGCTAACCCTGCTTCATCTACATATACAACACGAAGCTACTTTAGCTGCCATTAGACTCAAGACCCTAAATCTTTTAAGTAAGAGTAGTCCCCCATACAGGTATAATTGATAGATTTTACTCAAAAATTCCTATCTTACAAGCCAAGTACGATAAGAACCCAAAACAATTTGTATTCGATAAGAAGTACAGGATACAATTGAAAGAAACTGACCATCCAGAGGAATTAAACCCAAAAGAGCTTAGAGTTTTCACAGATGGTTATAAAACAAATTAATGTGTAGGATCTGGAACTTTCTCTAAACTTTCTCCTTAATATCAACATACACCACGTACACCGCTGGGTACCTATAACAAAGTTTTCCAGGCTGAATGTATGGGTATCATCCAAGCGGCCATAGCAATAGATGCTACGAAGGTAAAAGACTTCTCAATCAGAATACTGACTGACAGTATGGCGGTACTACAAGCTCTGAGTTGTAATGTGGGGAACTCGGGACTAATATATGAAAATAAATAAATGAGATATGTAAGGTAAGCACAACAATGTAACTTTGCAATAGATTAAGGGACACAGTGGATCTAGAGGCAATGATGCAGCAGATGAACTGGCCAGAAGGTGATCGACTCTGGCCACTATAGGACCAGAACCAATAATACCAATCCCTTTTGGTTACATTCATTCACTGGTACATAAAAACTTCAATAATTTACACTCTCAGCTTTGAAAAACTTTAGTAGACTGTGGACGTGGTTTGTAGGTGTGGGGGGGGGGGCCGGGGGGGGGATGAGATTGTTTTTACCAGCTGTTATTTTTATTTAGTAAAATTTATGTTTGTAAATGAAAAACGTAGTTTTTTGTGGAAAGCTAAGGAGGCCCTGCCTGAAATAAATAGTCATCTAACCAAGGTTCTAATCTGACTGAACAAGCCACAGATCAAAGCCACAGATCAGGGTAGTAACAAGTGCTATCACAAGACATGGCTCTTTTAACAAACATTTATTTACCATAGGTTTTACAGATAGCCACCAGTGCAGGGCATGCATGGGGGAGGAAGAAACGGCAGCTCACGTGCTGCTGACATGTCCGGAGGTTGCTTCATACAGGGCTAAACATCTCGGCACGCAGAGATCGCTCCCCGAAGTTGCTTGTGACATCGAAGGACTGTTGAACTTCTTCGGGGAACTTTCATGGCTCGAATAATCACATTATTCTTGCCCTCACGCAAAATAAGCGCTTAGACGTGGAGTAGCGGAAAACAGCCCGTCGTAAACTAAACTAATATGATCTCTATTTTTAAGACCTTATGGTTCATACTCAAGCGAATGGTGAGTAACATAAAGCTTTTCTCTTTTATTTTTTAATAGCCAATCAGGTGAAAATTATTTAAATGGTGCACAATTGTCAGTACATATTTCTTTCTTGCGCATGTGTGAATTTGGCGACAGTGGTTCTGGTACAAATTATGTATTTTGTTACTTCCTCTTGTTTTTTATATTCTGTGGTATTCCCATACATGTCACTACATGGTCAATCTATCACCACCACTAAGCCCATTACCAGCAATAGACTGTGTGCTCGTTTATCACACCTATTTTATAAAAGAAAAATGATTCCATAAAAAAATTGTGCGAACGTGATTTCAATGACTCCACGGAAAAATAAATATATGACTATTTAGGAATATCTATCCATGTGCAATCTATGTATGTTAAGCACCTTCATGATACAGGAGGAATTTCCGTAGAAGTAAAATTTGTTTTAAAAGAAAAACATTTGATACACACCTGATTTTTTCTCTTATTCATTACTCTCCTATAAGCCCCGTCAGTCTTACTATCATTATTGTTCGGCCTTCCCACATTTCTATTGTCACCTCTGTTCCGAAACTGATTTCTGCTCTGTACATTTCCCCTATTATAATTCCCCTGGAAATTTCCCCTGCGATTATCCTGCTGCGGCTTTTGTTTTTGCGTGTTCTGAGTGCATCTTTTTACTCGAAGTATTCTATTCTTTATTGTAAGATCTTCCTCCGATAGAGCCAAAGCTAGCTCTACTGCATCTTTTGATTTAAAGTTGACATAACCAAAACCTGTAAAAATGAAATATCTAAATGAAATTTTTTAACTAGGCTAACATTTAAAAAAATGCTATTCGGTTGTTTCAATATTAAATTCCCATATGGTGACTAAAGCTAAAGATAGTTAAGGTGACGAAAATGTTCGTTAACGGACATACAAACATGCAAACGTACATGCACTCTATAATTAATAATGGTACATTCGAAAATGGGATTATAACATCTATCATATATGGAGTTTTTAACGTGGTAGAGCTACACTGCAGGTACACTATGGTTGTATCACAATTGGGTTAGGTTGACCAGGGAAGGGCCAAACTTTCACAGAATACCAGCGTTAAATAGCAGCTTAATGTTGCTGTGTTCGTCATGGTGAGTGCAGTGGCGAAGCTTCCATTAAAGCCGAAAAGCCAGGCTTGCCTTATTAAACCTGAATCAATCAATAATATCAACTAATAAAATAACTCGTAAAATGTTTCAAGCTATTTCAAATTTCCCGCGCACTCCACTGTTCGACACATGTCGACCGATGACCTCGTATTGCCTTAGCGATACTGCTGCTGTCATAAAAAATGATTTTTAATAGAGCTAATAGTTGTCTACCTCGCTCGCGTGGGCTTTTTACGAGGCTTTCGAGAAGACGATCGCTCTCTTTCTAACCTATGGCAAAATATTCTATAACGAAATATAACTACGATTGTATATATAGCAATTAGTATAGAGATTTAAAGCCAGGCTTTTGGGAATAAATTTGTTAAAAGCGGAGGCGCGCGGGCAATACGTTTGCAAGTTCATTTCACGTTCAATGAGGTTCAGCGATTTTATTACGTTCAAATTTATAATTTTTAATAAAATGGAGGATAATAGTGTTCCTTGTGATGAATTGAAGTGTGTTAAAGTGATAATCGGAGAGGAAATCTTTAAACTTTGTTGAGATAATACACAAGGTTAAGAGTGTATTTCAGACTTATCACATATATCGCAATTAAGAACAGTTATTGGTACAATTAAAACGTTTACCAACATTTTACATGGACATAATTAAATCTTTCCATAAGAAAGCGAGACGATTCCACTTATCTTATCTTATCTCTTATCCATTAGAATGTAAATAATTTGTTTATTTTTTTTATTTTGTACATAGTTTGTTTGTACTTTGTTCGTGTTTTACTTTTGTTCATGTATTGTATTGGATGTAAATATTTTTTTTTCTTTCGCTTAAACAAACCCAAACGGCTTTCTTCAAAGCCACCGAAGCTATGCAATTGCTGATATGTAATACAATCTATCTAGCAGTGGTATGCCTTCTGTGTGCTTTGTTATACACGTCCTTGACAGCACTGAATATGAAACTGAAGCGTGGAGACAGATCAAGATTGGTGTATTTTTATAAAACTGCTAAAAACAACAATCTATATTTTTATCAATTTATATCTTGGGCTTGCCCTAGCTTGGAGCTCTAGCTTCGCCACTGGGTGAGTGTAAAGAACCGGAGACCATTGTTACTGGAAATGAGGCATTCCATCTTAGTCCTCAGGAGAGACAACTCATCTGCATTTTGAATCTTAATAGAGGATAAATGTAGATATCTATGGGCCTTAGCATCCACTACCAAGTGGACGTATGGTTTGCCACGTTATAAAAAAAAGAACTAAACTATAAAAGTGAGTGTAAACTGTTCTTCACCTTTTCCAGCATTAGTCCTCTTGTCCCTTATAATTCTTACGGAGACAATCTCTCCGCACTGCTGGAACTTCTGCTGTAAAGCTTCATCTTCCAACGCGAAGGGTATGTTGCCAATGAAAATGGAACATTTAGGGTCATGTTCGGAACCAGTGCAATCACTGCGGGTCACTCTCAGGTGGTTATCATTTAGTACTGTGCCATTTTCTGCCAAAGCCTAGAATGGAAGTTAAATATCTTAATACCAAAGTACTTAAAGGAAAGTCACACAAAGAATATCCTTATCATGCTTTTTTTTCCATACCAGTGTTAAAAGTAAGCATGTTTCCATAGACTGCAGAGGCCATTTACCAACAGGTGGACTTTAATAATGATCATTTATTTTGTAGAGAACAATTACTTTCTATAACTATTAAATGTAATCTATTATTGGAAGTCCACTGCTTAACACAGGCATCCAACAAGGAATTCCACAAAGTACGGTCCTGAGCCACCTGCATCTATACTGTGTAGACATAGAAATGAGGATATCTGCAGCAGAACCTGAGTAAGCGACATAGGCCAAGAGATCAGGTGAAAGTAGCAATAGGCCGATCACATAGCTCGAAAAAAGTAGCAACCTCATATAAGTCAGCGAAGTGTAGGGTGGGCCATTAGATGCAGTTACGACCTTGTAGGAAATGCGGGAATTCGATGGTTGCTGGTGACTTGGGACAGTGCTTTGTGGTGTATAATGAATAAAAATGTATTCTATTCTATGCTATGATGGACCAAAAGAATATCAGCCTAATTTAGTTAGATATTCATAAGCTGTTATTTAGTTTTTCTAACACATTGCTGAACCTAATATTGCAACAACCTAAATAGCTCATTTAGCATCCTTTACCCGTCGCATCTAACAACACCCACATTATGTTATGAGGTATTAGACACTCTTACAAAGCCACTACATCGCTAGCTATGAAATCTTTTTGAAATTAGTACATCTCACTATACACATGGGATGAAATGGGGTGAGGGATTCCCTTTCGCAGCCACTAGACTAACAAGTCAATTTTTGCATTAAATTAATTTTATAATCACTTACCTCATTTACTGAAGACTCATCACGGAATTTGACGTAAACATTTACTGTTGATCTGTCTGGATGGAGTTCGTTCTTGATCACTGCTAGTTTGGGGGTCACGCGACCATCCTTTACGGGAACTGTGCGAATCCTGTAAAGTTATAAAACTTATTCAAACATTTCTGAAATTTATCTTTTTTTATTTATTTATAAAAATTAGGTACATTGGAAAGCAATTATCTATATCTAAAAATATATTAAGCTCTTCCTCCTTGATTTATAGCATTATTGATTTAAATTGTTATTATGGTAGAGCTATGCTGCCACTGTATTGTTGTAAGAGCAAAAATGGGTTTAGGGTTGACCAGGGAAGAACCACATGCTTACAGAATAACAGTGTAAAAGAGCAGCTTTAAGCTGAAAATTAAGTATTATTTCGTAAAACCTGCATGACAACCCTAGCTCCAAATTAACGCAAACTCAAAAGTCTGTTTATTAGAAGCTTGCGCCAGAACAGCAAACGCGTGTGAGGACGATACTATATCGAAACTTCGCAATTTACATTCTATTTTACTCTACCAATACAATGTGGTAGAGCCATGTTGCAGCTATATTATGGTTGTAGCATGAATGGGTCGGCTCGGCCGAGAAAGGACCACGCTCTACAGAATACCAGCATAAAATAGCAGCTTAATGCCACCGTTTCCTATGGTGATTGTAAAGAACTGGAGACCCTTTTTAGGAAATGAGGCATTCTATCTTAGTCCTCAAGGATAATAATGCATCTACTTTTTGATTTATAAAATAGATGTACTCTGCCACAGAACCACTTACTGTCAGTCCGAATGTGTGCTCATTTCTCTATTAATATCTATAAATGAAGTTACCTAAAAATAGTCTGAATTTTGAAACGAGACATTAACATTATTTTTTGCCTTTACATAATTGTCGACATAACAAAAAAGGCCATATAAACCTCATGGTTTGATTTATGGTTCATATTTATTTTTATTTTTTTAGAAAATCTTCACACTAAGATTATCTCCTGTATCGTGGTGGCAATTACATACATAAATTTCACAAGGAGTAACATCCAGATCCGGAACAATTATTTGTAGGCCATGCAAATAACTGTTCCATATAGGCAGCACCTAAGTCTCATAATAACTGTTCCATGGGGGTTTTTTACCCACAGCCATCAGCGCCGTAACCCATTGCTAAGCCACTGCGCCATGCCAGGTAGGCTTCAAAAGAATCGGATTAAATTCTTTAATTAAAATGAAAAGTAAGAAGTGACAAAAAATAAGAATGTGGAGTATGAAGAAAAAAAAATTGATTATTTTTAAATTTTTAAATAAAATTATATTAAAAAAGTCCCTGAAGCTCTGACCATATTTAGAACCTGCATAAGTAAATGATATAGACTTAAAATTGCAATATTTGGTTAGTTTGCTATTTCTTCTTAATTAACTCATAACAAAAAATCTGATGCAATGCAGAACGCAACAAACTTCACCAGATGGAAGAACAGAACCTAGATCTAAATAATCTAACCACTAGGCCATAATTAATAACATACCTTACAGTTTCAATCTGCCCATATTTGCTAAAGATTTTTTTAACTTCTTTTTTGCATCTAGCACTGAATGGCACATTGCCTACAAAAAGGGTTCTTTTGACTTCTTCCGTATTTACAGTCACCTCTTTATTCTTTTGTGCTTTCTCTTGTTTCTTAGGAACTTTGTCTTCTTCATCTGAACTTTCCTCCACTGGGCCTGTATCAAGAGCTTCTTTGTTTGTCTGTTCATTTTCTGATTCAATTTCATTGTCCGAATCATGTTCTGAATCTGTGTCCTTATCTGTTATTGCATTTGGATTAACAAAAGTGTTCTTTTTCTTCTTTTTCTTTTTTGAAACACTCATATTACTCTCTACTTCTCTTTCTTCATTTTCTTCATCTTCTTTTGTTTCTTCATTTTCCATATTATTGCTTCCATTTTTATTTTCACGTTTCCTGTTCTTCTTTTTTGATTTCTTAACTTCTAAATCATCATTTGAATTATCATTTTCTGCATTACTGTTATTTACATTATTTGTGAATTGTGAATTTTGTTTTTTAGTTTTTTCTTTAGGCTTATTCATCATATTCATGTTTATTTCCAGATTATCTTGAATTTCTACATTAGAAGTATTTTCTTGTATGACTTTATTTTTCTTCTTCTGTTTCTTTAAATAAATATGATTTTCCTCATCTGTATTTTTTGATTCTATACCATCACTAGATTGATCCAGTTGATTTTTTACTTTCTTAGGAGAAAGCTTATTCTTTTTATTTTTAGTTTTACTGCTAAGAACAACATTTACTACTTCTGAATCATTAAGATCATTAACTTGATCATTAGTTACATCTGTGTTCGCCTCAGCAGATTCCTCAGATACTGAGGTTTGCTTCTTCTTCTTTTTTTTAGGTGTGTTTTCATTTTGAACTTGAGAATTTTCCAAAATGGCTTCATCATTCTCCTTACCTGTATTTATTAGTAACGGTGACTCCTTTGTTTTTAAGTTTTTGATCTTTGGTGATTTCGGGCTCAATAAATTAACATCTGCTTCCAATTCTTCTTTTAAATGTTTCTTTACTTTGTCTGCTTTTGGACTTTTAGGATTACCTTCACCGTCGTTAGTAGCGTCTAGGTCAGGGTTTTGAAATATTCTTTTAGGTGATTTTTTCACAATAGCTTTCTTTTTTTGTAACGTCGGTGAGAGAAAAATTGTCCTATCATCGACTAATTCACTCTTAGGGGTTACGTTCGGGGAAGGTTGATGTTTTGTTGGTGTCAAGGCTTTCTTCATAAATTTCGGACGGTTAGGAGTTACATTTCCAGATACTATAGCTGCTACACTGCCCACCACATAATCCATCGTTCATAAATTAAAAAGTGAGAATTTTTAAAAGTTTAATGCGACGCACATGGTACCGACATTTGACAAGTGAAATTCAAACGTCAATTTTTGAGTGACGTAAAGTAGTGTGACCAACTTTTAAAATAGACACATCCTTTTTACAAACTATAAGAACGATCCTATCATATTCTTACAGTAATAATCACAGAACACTATTACTCCTATCGGAGGTAATAATTATTTTATTAACCACTCGTTATCCGCAGTTATCCGTCAGTCTATGGACCTATTAGTCTGACCTATGGTCAAGCCAAAGAGTATAGTAGGTTTGGCCAAAGACAATTTTTTTAAATGAAGGTAAATATAACTTAGAGTCATTACCATGTTCTTATCCAAAAATAAAAATTATCAACAATGAAAATAACGAATTATTTGTATGAACGTCACGTGAGCGCTAGAGAAACGATTGTAAGACGTTGTTGACAAATAAAATGTTTATTGAAATAGTACAGTAAAAATAGAATGTAACATTGCACGAAAATTTCCGATTCAATTCAGGATAAAATCACAAAATGCCGACAGATCCAGGTGGCGCTTCAAGCATAATCTTGAAAAAACGTTTTCAGCCGATATCTCGGTAACTATGCACTGTAAGGCAAAAGTTATACAAACCATTATTGTATAAAATAAAATTTCGCATTTTTTGTTTCCAGTAAACTTTTTTGTAAAACTTACCGTTTACGATTTATGGCCCATTTAATGAACAGGTGGCGCTTCAAGCGCCATCTTGAAAAAACGTTTTCAGCTGATATCTCGGAAACTATGCACTTTACGGCAAAAGTTATACATACCATTACTGTAAAAATTAAAATTTCGCATCTTTTGTTTCCAGTAAACTTTTTTGTAAAATTTACTGATTGCGCGGAAAACCATTCGTATTTATTTATATTTGACGGTAGGCTTGCCAAATCGTTTATCCCTCTCCAAACGATATCATTCATACCCTCCTATCGACACATCGGGGTGGTGGGGTGGGAGGGGAAAGAAGATGATTCTAGAATATTACGCGATCATCGCAACCGAAGGAATAAAAGGCACGCGCTGCCTACGCGCAGTCTCTTCCCGCCGCGCTCGTCGTTGGAACCACACCGCTTAAGACAATAGTGTCCACGCGCACCGCTAGTATATCCGCTTTAGCCTGGACGCAGTCGAATTCCAGGAAACCCGCCTCACCTCGTGTGAGAAATAGTCGCGCACCGCACTTTCTCGAGACGTATCACCGGACAAGAAAGGCTGGGGCCAAAGAGAGTCTACCCAGAGTGTCTTCCAGAAGTTGCAGCAACTTAGTGCCCAAGCCGCATAGAAGCAACACCCCGGTGAGTGAATATTCCTTAAAAGTAATTGAAACAGTGTAATCACACGCGTTTTGTACGCTTATCCGACAATTTTGATAAAAGTATATTGAGTTTAGCGAGCGACGCGCGTCACCTCGGCTCGCTGTAACAAGTGTTCAATTTAACGACGTAATACGGCACGCGTGTCCATCCTCCAGCGTTGTGCAATTAATTGTGATTAATATAATATTAATTATAATAATTTAAAATGGCAGTTAGTGGAAATGAAATCAAAATTAAAACGCTTTATGCCAAGAGGGACATACTTTTTTCACGTATACAAAGTATTAGTGATCACATAAAGAACATTAATGTAGAAGCAGTGCGGGAAACTTTTTTGAATGAAATTGAAACGAAAGGATATTAGACCAAATTAATCATTTGGAATTACAAATCGACCCGAAATATATAGTGAACTACCAACCGCTTCTAGCATTTGAAGACATGTTGTGTCGCGTCAAAAGAACGGCGAAACTCTTACAGTCTCCATCTCAAAACGAAGCAAAGCCGGAAACCCAGGCGTGACTCAATTAATTTGCCGCCAATAGGTATTCCGGTATTCAATGGTGATATTAAGACATGGCCCTTCTTCAGTAGTTTTCAAAACAATATACATAATAACCCATCGTTATCGGACGCTGAAAAATTATATTATTTAATTAGTAAACTTAGTGGCAGGGCACAGTCAATTTGCTCGGGTTTTACACCTACAGCAAACAATTACTTGTTAATATTCGAAACGCTTAAAACTAAATATGAAGATAGGAGAATGTTAGCTTCCGAATATTTGAACCAGATATTCGATCTTAAACCTATATCATCCGCGAACATCAACGGCTTAGAGCAGTTTTTAGATAAATTTGTGGCATCGGTGGCTGCACTCAAGAATTTGAAATTTAATGACCTTATTGACGTGGTGTTTCTCCATATTGCATTAAAGAAATTAGACCCCGACACCGTGCGTGCGTTTGAAATGGAGCATCGTAGCTCGGAGATGTCTTCCTTTCATTCATTAGCATCGTTTGTGCGAGATCAAATAAAGGTGATGCATTGCTCCCCGAACGTTAAACAAGAAATTAAAAAAATGCGTCGACCGTAGACCGACTCAACCATCTAAAACAGCAGGGTCGTTAACATACGTAACCGCTACGTCGGCACCACTTCAGCATGCCTGTATCATATGTAAAGATAAATACGGTAATTTATACAATTGTGCGACTTTTCGTAAATATTCACCAAGCGAGCGTTATAAATTAGTAAAGACAAACAACCTATGTCTGAACTGCTTAAGCGATAAGCATTTAGTTGCAAAATGCAATTCTAGCTCCGTATGTAGCAAGTGCGCCAGGAAACATCACACGTTATTACATTTTGAAAATAGCAACATATCGGCGTCAAGTAAAGCGGACAAGGAATTCACCCCTACTAAAGTTCAACGATTCTAGCGGTCGACCTGGTGATGTCGCTCTGTGCTCATTGGCAAATATGGAAGCACAACCTCCTTCAACCGTGTTACTAGGTACGGCACGTATTTTGGTTAGGGATTCGCGTGGAAACGAACAAAGCGTCCGTGCACTGCTGGACAGCGGAGCCCAAAATAGCTTTATAACGCGACAATGTTGTCAGCGCTTAGGCTTAGTAATAAATAGGTCACTTTCATGTCCCGTAGTCAAAGGCATCGGAGGTACTAGTAAAGTTACCCAGGGATATATAAATTTAAAATTTTATTCTCGGATAGATCGTAATGTTAACTTTGATATAAATGCACTAGTAGTAGATAGGGTCACTGAACGGCTGCCAACCGTTACGGTTGACACCTCGGCAATGATTGAATTTAAAAATTTGACTCTAGCAGAGGTTTTTTTTTTCGGAGGAAGTGAGAGATACAAGTGTCGTGCCTTTTTTGCTTAAAATTTATTGTTTTATTAAGTGTTGTTGATTTACCATAGTAAATTTTTCTGTCTTGGTGGAGGTTTTAATATCTGTAAATTAGTAAGTGTTTGTAGTTGTGCCGTTTTTATGTAATTTTTTGTTGTAGTAATATAATGGAGGACGAACCTCCCGATCCCGGAAGGGTTCGCAATGATTCCTTTTCCTTACCCACTAACATTGATAATGTAGAATTAATTAAACGTAAACGTGCCCAAGTAAGTAACGAGTCTGCCCATCCACAAAAAATAGTTATTACTGATCCAAATCAACAGTTTCCTTCAATACAATCCTCATATACCCATCCTGATTTTATTAATAAAAAAGTTAAGTACTCTCAAGATGATGCCGCTCCTTTTCTAGTTCACGTAAGTAAAATCTCAAATGATCAGCTGTCTGGAGTAACTCTTAAACCAATTAAATTCGGCCACTTTCTGTATCATAACAATATTAAAAATATAGTCCATGATGGAGTCAAAAAAGTTGGACGAAATAGAATATCCGTGGAGTTTAAATCAGCTGCAGATGCAAACACCTTTATCGATCACCCAGCTCTCCAAATTTCTAAATATGAAGCAACCATCCCCTCATATAGTATCACTCGTATGGGGCTAGTTAGACAAGTTCCCATAGAGTGGACACTAGAAGAATTAATAGCAGCTATAGAAATTCCCTCTGGATACGGTTCTATAATTAAAGCACGGCGACTTAATAGACGATCAGTGAGTGACAGCAATAGCGTTTCATGGGTTCCAACTCAGACGGTTGTTCTAACTTTTTCTGGACAAAAACTTCCTCCCCATATTTACTGTTTTTACACCTCAATGCCAGTGGAAAAATATGTTTTGCCACTAATTCAGTGTCATAAATGCTGTAGATATGGCCATGTTACTTCCCAGTGCCGATCATCTCCTCGCTGCTTTGTATGTGCACAGAATCATGAAGGTTTATCTTGTACTCGACAAACTCCTACTTGCCTATTCTGCTCTGGTCCCCACACCGCAAAAGACCCTACATGTCCTGAACATCTAAGGCAAAAATCTATTAAACTTGTTATGTCACAAGAAAATATTTCATATTTAGAAGCTTCAGCTAGATTCCCTCAGACAAAAAGATCCTTTGCTGATACAACAAGAATCCAGCCTCGTAATTGTTCTCAACAGACCCCTTATACTATAACTGACAGTCTTTCAACCCCTTCGGCTCAGCTCTCACAAACTGCATCATATAAAAAAACAATTTTTATCCCTCAACGTACCCGCAGCCCACCATTAAATTCTGGATATGATATGGCAGCCCATCAAGCAATTGTTGAGAATCCTAATTCTTCCCTTCCTAATGGGTGTGCTCTACTGGGAAATGACAACAACTCCTCTAGTAATGATAATTTCTGCGAACTTATGATATCAATTCTAATTAACATGATCTCCCGTTTTAGTGACACGGAACTTCCTCTCAGCTTACACCAAAAACTTACTCAGCTTTCCTCCTTAGCCCGTAACATTCGCAGTCCCGCCAATTCTTCAATGGAATTGTCGGAGTATTAGAAATAAAAAAAATGAACTCATTTACCTCATTAACAAATTTCATCCCTTCATTCTTGCCATCCAGGAGACATGGCTTAGGCCTGAATCTCATTTTAGGGTTTCAGGCTATGCATGCCTCCGGGATGATAGGAGTGATGGTCGTGCTGGC